GATTCAATTAATGCTCTTAATGAGCAGTCCCCAGCTCCAGTAATTCAGATTCACAGTGAGACTCTAGAGAATGTTGAGAATTTCCTGTACCTCAGAAGCCATCTCTTGAAGAAGACTGACATTGATGAAGAAATCCAACATCACCTCAAATGTGTAAGTGCAGCCTTCGGACACCTGAGGAAAAAGGTGTTAAAAGATCAGGGCCATTTGTAGGTCCTCCTCTGTATGTACAATGACAGCACAATCATTGGCGCAGCGAAGTTCCACAATCAAGGCCAAAGTAACTTTGGTTCTGGCACATAGGTGGGAAAGATTAAAACGGTTCCCATGCATCTTGTACTCAATGCTGATGACGTGGCAGATGGTCACAGATGAATATCTTGATGACTGCAACAAAGACAGAAAACAGAGTTGCTGTGATCATGCAACCCAGCTTGATGGCAGTTCAATGACAAAGGCTAGTTCAAATGGCTCTGTAATGGACTCACTGCATTGGATAGAGGCAGTCATCTGGTCATGAAGGAGTCTTAGGATGGTGATAAATTTTCCTGTGCAGCCAAACTTCAGTAAGATCTTCCATACAGCCTCACAGTTAACAGAGTTGAAGGCATGAACGGTGCATGCCCCCAACGACTGTGGGGGGCATGGCTGCACTGGCGGCGGTGGGAGCATGGCAGTGGGAGCACAGCGGTGAGTGGGGAGCTCCTGCAGATGCCACCGGCACTGTCAGCGGCAGGGGAAGAGGGGGTGGCAAGCGGTCAGCAGTGGCGGGGTGGGCGTGGGATTGCTGACCACCTGCAGGTGCCGCCGGCAGTGTTGGTGGTGGGGTGTGAGTGGCGACGGCCCGCAGGTGCCACCAACAATGTTGGTGGCGCCTTTTTTGCAGGGGCTGCACCCCCTACACATTGCCCCTCGTCAAAGGCTTTGGTCAAATAGATAAAGGCCATATACAGCTCCTGCTGTTGTTCTTGACATTTTTCCTGGATCTGTCAGGCCACAAAAATCATGTCCATGATGCCTCTTGATGGTCTCAAGCCACATTGAGACTCAGGAAGGATTTCCTCAGCAAGAGGGAGCAGTTGGTTCAAGAATTTTTGAGCAAGGATCTTCCCAGTGATGGGGAGGAGGGCAATACATCAATAGTTTCCACAGTCAGACTTATCTCCCTTTTTAAAAATGCTGACATAATTGGCATTCCTTAGGTCAGTAGTGTTCCATATTTTAAGAAACAGTGTGTGGAGCTTGTTGGTTATAGTCTCCCCACCACCTTCAAAGACCTCAGCTGCTATGCCATCAGGGCCAGATGCTTTGTTGCTCTTCATCTGTTTTATTGCCTGGTGGACTTCTTCAGAGGTTGGTGGATGGGTAAGTGCTTCCCTTATTGGATTCTGTGGGATGGATCTGATAGTTTTATCAGTCACCATTGGTTCTCAGTTCAGGAGCTTTTGATATGCTTTATGTGAGGAGGCTGTTGCGCATCACCCACTGCACAGATCTTGGTGAATAAGAAACCTATGACCATTGGCAAGGAGATCCAAGACCACTGGAGTTACTCTCCCACTGCAGCCTTCATCCTCCTTTGAAGCCATTGAGAAGTATGCCTACTGCATCTGCCTGCTCCACCATTCAAGTGAATGAAATATCAAGAGGATGAAAATATGCTGTCTCTTATAATCTACTCTTTTAATATACCACTAGTGAACATTAATTGTAGAAAAATATTCTGTATGTTAGAATTTCTTAAATTTCTAAACTAAGAATGAGAAAATTTCCAGTTAATATTTAACAGAGCCATCCAACTGATGGCACATGACCTACATCTGGCCTGTGAAGGGTTAAATTGCAGCCCTCAGGCTCCTGCCTAGCCACCCTTGCTTCAGTTGCTGTAGCTGTGGTGGCTAGAGCCTCTGGAGCAGAGCAGGAGGCCTGGTGAGTTCAATGCCCACGTCAGTGCCAGCGTGAGGCTCGGATGGGGAAGGGGTGGCTTTTGCTGCTTGTATGGCATCAATGAGGGGAATCATGTGCATGGTGGTACAAGTCAGGGAGCTCACTTCTTTAGGGAGGGGAAGGAGAAAAGGGGCTTGCACAGCAGTAGTGGAAGGAGGAATCCTCCAAGTGGTGGCGGCAGTGAAGGGGCTTGTGGGGTGTTTTGCCATCTGCTCTGGAAGATGGAAAAGGGCACTTGATTTAGAGTGGCTCTGAAAGCTGCTCTAATTAAAGCACCCACAGTGTCTGGTGTATCAGCATCCACCTGCTTCAAAATGGCGGCGGGGAGCTTAAACTCATTCAACAAACTTTAAAGTGCTCCCACCACCATTTTGAAGCACTGGGACGCTGATACATGAGGCGCAGAGACTAGCTGGAGTGCACTAATTAGCACACTACAGCAGACTTGATTAATTAATCTTGATTAATTGGGTCTGCTGACACACTGTAATCCATAAACCATCCTGTACAATCCAGCTGCTCTGTATCACCCAGCTACTCTGAAGTTGGACAGCCTAATTTAAAACATTCAAACATTTTAGAAGTATTTTAAACTTCTTTTGATTACATTACACACACACAAATGTGTGTACGTATGTATTATAATTAATTTTATTAGAGATCAGTTTTGTATTCCTCATTCAAGCAAAACTCCCATGGGCTTTAAAGGGACTAAATAAGAATCCACTGAGCCCTTCATCTTTCTATACGAGTTAATCCTTCTCACACATATATTAATTTATTGCTAATTTACTGCTAATTTACTGAATTCCATCTGGTCTGTTTCTGGTTCTTAATGATCAGAGATGAACACAGGAGGAGCTTGAATTAAGTCTTGGATAAAAGGCGATGTTTAAGATAATTTTACTCTGATGGCAAAATGTCTTTAAAATTTTAATATCACTTAAATCTATGGAAATAAAAAATGTTCAAGCCCCTCATTCTGTTTCTAACAGATGTGAAACCTGAAAGATGCTCCCCTTCGACCGATGGATGTGACAGGTTCGGAACAGAGGTATAGAAGATAAAGTGTGTATGAAAGAACAGTATGGAAAGATTACGGCTGAGTGCTAAATAAAATGAGTATCTCTGAGGGGAATCTTAGAGGGGTATCTCAGAGAGGGAGATATTGAGTATTTCTGAGGGGAAATGGGTATCTCTGAGGAGAAAAAACTAAATCAAAATATCGACTTGTTCAGTAAACATGATAAACTAACTGACAACCGGAAAGCATGTAGAAGGATACTTAGTGCAAAAAATTCAGACAAAAGACTTGCTTGCATTTGAAGGAATGTAAAATAATAAACGTTCACAAAAAATAATCTGCATCTACAATAGTATTGTACCTTATCATATCAAGGAATATGCACATTTTCGCCAAAAATAAGTTGCTGGAAACGAGTGCACAGAAAATACAATAAGTGAAGTTACAATATGTGAAAAAATATGGTAACAGCAGTTTCTGTTGCTTAGTCCTTGATGAGGCAAAAGCAAAAGTAAAGTTTGCACACAACCCACAGGGAGAGAACAATGAGCAGGCTTTGCTTCTTAGCTACCGTTACTCACATTACTTATTGGAAGGAAGGCAAGGTTCTTTGGGTAGATGAGGTATCTTTTATTAGTAGTTGGAAAAAAGTTCTTTGCAAGTTTTTGGGCACAATCACCCTTCTTCAGGCATTGGGAGTCTCTGCTGTTCTGAGACTCCAAGGAATGAAAAAAGAAGCCAAAAGTGTGACAGGACTTCAGTGAGAGGGTAAATAGGTGAAAATTAGGAAAACAAAAGGTAGAGAAGGGAAGGGAAAAACAAGAGGGGGAAAAAAACCAAAGGTAAGTAAGGGACACTCTAGTAGTTTTCCAAGGTAGAAAAAAGGCTGTCTGTGGAAAAGTAAGTAGCTGGAAATTAGGAAGACAAAGGGTAAAAAGGAGGGGAGGGGAGGAAGGTTCCCCCCCCCAAAGAAAAATGTGAAAAGTCAGGTCTGGCAGGTACCTGGTAAATCAGATGTCAGGCAGGTTATAATGTGTCATAAATCCAATGTCTATATTGAGTCCATGATTTTTGTATCCAGTAGATTTATGAAGTGAAGTTTGCAGGCTCGTCTACGGAAGGGGTTTTGTAAAGTTCCTTTGAGGATTAGAACTGAGAGATCGGCGCGGGAGTGGCTGTCCCGTGAGAAGTGGGCACCCACAGGTAATTGCATATTCTTGTCTTTGATAGGTTTCCGGTGTGCGTTCATTCTGGTGCACAGTTGTTGTTTGGTCTCTCCTATGTATTTTCCATCAGGGTGTTTGGTGCACTGGATAAGATATATAATGTTTCTGGAGGTGCAGGTGTGAGATCCAGGAATGGTGATAGTTCTGTTGTGAGGTGCAGTAATTGTGGGGGTGGTGGAGATAGGTTGGCAGGTTTTGCATTTCTTGTCCTGGCACGGTCTCGTACAAGTTTCATGTTATTTGGTGAAATGTTGTCCGCAAGGAAGTATGATACTCTTTCTCCTTTGCCTTTGGGAGGAGGGATTCAAAGAGCTATTTTACAGTGGCGTAAAGCGTGCAAGTTGCAAAGCAGAGGAAAGCAAGTTCACGAGGGTCTTTTAACTGGATTAGCAAGAACTCTAGAAACATATGGCCACTGATATGGCTACTTCATAGAAAGAAAAATTACAGCCCGCAAATACCTTTTTGAGAGAGTGGAGCGAACTCTTACAATAGCAATTGGAATGGAATTAGGGAATAATTAGGCCAAGGATTATAAGTAAGGGGGGGGGTGCGCGCGCACATATGCCTCCCACTCCCGCCACCAGGGCAAACCTCCCCTCCCCCGCCAACAGCAGCGCGCGGCCCCTTAGACACCGCCCCCCCCGTTGCTACGGGGACGGAAACACTGCGCGGCGCACAAACACTTCGCCGGGGGGGCTCGGGGCGACTGGCTGCGATAAGCACAGAGAACCTCCCCCTCAGGAGGGGAGTGGTAGTACCCTTGTTTCAGTGAAACGGCCACACAGCTGCGTTCCATCCGGTGCGGTCCGGGGGCGGGGCCGAGCAGAGGGGGCGGGGCCCGCCCCGCGATCCCCAGAGGCGCGGTAGAGATTTGGGGTCCGCGCGGGCTCCGGCCGCTCCGCAGCCTCGGCAGCGCGGCGCTCGGGTAAGCGCGAGGCAGCCCGTCGCGGTCCCCTCCCCAGTTCCGCCCGCGCGAGCCCCCTCCCCGCCCCTGGTGTCCGGCCGCGGGCGGGGCGGGGCGGAGCTGTTGCCCTGGTAACCGGAGTAAACTGCTGGCGGCGCCGCCTTGCCGCGCCCGTGCAGAGCGTGGCCGGCGCTGGGGCTGGGGCCGGCGGGGGGCAGCAAGCGGAGCAGGAACGGGAGAGGGGCAGGAAGTGGAGCAGTGAACTGGACAGGGGCAGAAGGCAGAGCAGGGGATCGGGAAAGTGGCAGAAAGCAGAGAAGCAGATTGCCCAGGGACATCAGGGCAGGGAGTGGAAAGCAGCGTGGGAAGGGGCCAGGGGCTGGGAGCACAAAGCAGAGCTGTGGATCAGGCAGGAGCACAAAACAGACCAGCAGCTTAGGTAGGAAAAAGGGATTGGAGTAACTTTCCGAGAGGCTGCGGAGCTAGCTATATGATGCTTTTGGTGGGACTGGTGCACTTGCACTCATCCTAATGTAGCAGATTTCCATAAAATCCCTAGCGTCAAGGTAGTATAAAGGACTTGTGCACTGGAAAACATTTTGTGCATGTTTATAGAAGTGTTTATTCTTATCCTCACTTCTGTATAACTCATCTTTGTGTTATGTTTTGAACAGGTTTGATCTTTTACTTAATAAGGGGGTGTTAATAAATTAAATGTGACTGGCCTGCTGCAGCTTATTTGGGCTCTAGAGTTTATCAGTGGCAGCAACGTTTGCAATAATCAGGACAAGGGATACTGCTCAAGCAAGTGGTCTCTGTAAAGTAGACTCCGTATTTTAAGAACTGGGGATTAGTGCTGGATCTGGAACTCTCTAAAGCTGGAATGAGTTTCTTACTCCCACTGTATTCTTACACTGTTGAACTTGTGGAATTGTGACTTCCATGAGCTGCACTTGATTTGTCTTTTACTCCTTATTTGGACTAATTCTTTGAGCCTCATCACAGATCATGGAAACTGGAAAGTGGGGAACCTGTCCTTCGGCCTTCACTGTTAACTGTGGATACACACAGGACTTTCAGAAGTATAAAGTAACTGTATCAGCATAATTTGTGTCTCTGGTCAGAAGATTTAGTATGCTGCAGTATACTTGATACGGTTTAGAAACTGGTAACCTTGACCGTGACCACTTTATTTTGTATTCTATTGCAGATTAAAACAATAGGCCACTTGTTCCCCTGAATTCTGATTAAAACAGCACCAGTCTACCTAAACTTTCCATCAGCCAATAAGACCAGCTATTGATAACCATAGAAGCTGGCACAGAGTAATGGGAGATGCTGTAGAAAAAGATATCTAACTAATGAAGCAATGATACAAGGAACCAGTCACTTGTCTAAGGACAAAGTGACATTGAATAGAGTAATAATAGTTGTTCAGGATGCCCCTGTTCTTATTGGGGAAGGTGTTAGTGATGTTGTGATGTGATGAAGTATGAATTGCATTCAGAAGTTCGCCTAACTATCCCAAGTATCCAGATGATACAATAAAAGAAATCTTTGCCTCTTATTAGGGAATGCATGTACTACATCTAAGCCTCTCACACATTGCTAAGGAGAAAGCCTACCATATTCTTCAAAATGATGAGCTCTGGTATGTTATCCTGAATGCCTTCAGCGTGAGTAGATTTGATTTAAATCAAATCAGTTCAAACCATGGCTTAAATCACTGGTCAGGAAAAGGGCATTCTTGTTTGATATAACCTTAATGCATATTTTTCACAACTCAGAGATAGATGTAGGTTTCATTTACAGAAGGTACACACTATACATTTTAAAGCAGTGATTTATTTTGATATTTTTAGATTAATTTTGCAGCTGCATTAGAAAACTGAATTACAACATTTTAAATTGTTTTTAATCAAAACAACAAGCTTATATGTTTTAGAGATTTTTCTTCAACAACAAACATGTATAATTATTTTAACAAAACAAGTATATTTGAATTTGTAACTATTTTAGTTATAAATGTGAAATGTGTTTTTTAACAAAAATTAAATAGATTATTTGAGCCAGCTCAACATTAGAAACTTTAAATACTGGGTTATGTGGCAGCAAACTCAGTCTTCACCTTTCTCTTCCTGTTTATTCATAGACTGGAAAAGAAAGACAAGCATTCCTGTTTTTTCAGTTCCTAACCGATTTCTCAATTTTGAACTAATTCTAAGGAAGAAAATATTTTTTATTAAAATTTATATATTATACATTTATTATAAATTTATTATAGTTTGTATTATGGAAGGATGATTGCTAGATGCCCATGTCATAGCCAACTCCTCTTCTTCAGCAGTTAAAGATTAACCCTGGTACTGAGTATTGAGAATACTGGCAAGAAAATGAGCTGGAGATAGTATTTGGTCCATTCCTTTTTTTTTTTTTTTTTTTTTTTTTTTAGAAAGAACAGATAATTTTCTAGTTTAAAATTTAATAATGCCTGTAATTTAACTCTGTCATTGCACATTTCTCCTTTCAAGGTCTCACCCAGTTCCTTCCAAATTTCAGCAATAAGCAATCAGCCATAAAACAGTGATTTCCCTGCAGTTTGTTCAAGGCTACAGAAATAGGCTTCAGGATAGTCAGCATACATTCTATATTTCTCTTTAGCCCAATGTTGAGAACTTTGGCTATGACAGTTCCATCTATTTTGTCATGATTTTCTTCACAAATTGTCATCAGATTAGGCCAGTTCTCAACATATCGCTCAAAATAGTCCACTACTGAGTTTCATTGCACATCTTGTGGGAGACTGAGGTTTAGTTCTTCCTGCTTTCTTCAGAGCAGCTGCTGCAAAGTGGTTGTTATGGAAGTATTTAGCCATTTCAACAAATTAGCCTTTATTTCTGGAGCACTGAAGTCCTTGGTTAAGAGGTGCATCAAATGAGCACTGCAGCCATATGTTATTAGCTTGAGTTTTCTTCACTTTCTTCTAGATTTCTTCTCATCTTTGATACATTTGCAGCATTGTCTGCGACAAAGCTGCCTCTCAGTTCCTTCTTGCTGCCTATTGTAGGAAGACCGAAGCCTTGCACTGTCTACTTAATATACACCGTGTGATCTCTGCCATAAGCTTTCTTCTAGATTGTTTTGAAAGGAGCTTCTACAGAGCCCAAGAATAAATGAGAAGGGGAAAAATTGTACAGGGAGCTCAGGGTGGGCAGAGACTCCAGTGCACAGTGGAGTTGCAGGAAAGTTCAGGTACCACTTTAACATAGACCCTCCCCTTCAGAAAAAGTTTGAAGGAGTGAACTTCCAATACAACTTAATATAGAATTGTATCCCTCCTATAGAAGTCCTACAGCTAACTCAACGTGTTAGTACAGTCCTGGCTAAATTGTACAGGTTCTCAACAGAAAGGTTCAAACAGTACCACTCAATTTCCTGCAAAAATAGTGAAATATGTATGCCAGTTCTGAAAGCTCCCTGTAAAGAATTCATTTGACAAAAATGGAGAAAATGCTTTTTAAAAAAAAGAAAAATACAAACCCTCCACACACCATCACCCATCACATCACCATGTTTTACTAAATACTTTTACCTTTTACTAAACACTTCTACCTGGATGCTTTTTTTAATCTCTCCCATTAAGAGTAAAAACAGGTAGATCAGGAGATTTAAAAAATCACAATAAATCCACTAAGTAGATTACTTTGGGAAAACTTGAATTCTGTAGTTGTTAGATTAAGATCCTTAGAAGCCAGTATAACCTCTGAGGTTCTGGAAGACCTGAACACTCATTTCCAGCTGGCGTTCCTTTGAATTGTAACTCTGATCCAGAATCATTCTTACTCCGTGTTTGAATCCTTTTATTAAGTTTAGCAGGTCATCCAAGAGCTGTTCTACTCAATTTCAAGAAAAGGGTAGGGCAGTCTATTGTTCCCAGAGTTAGCACAGTCAGGTGTCACCCTCTCTGGCGAGGACTAAGATGAGGCAGAATACCTACCAAGCTGTTCTCTTATCTCCTGGAAGCAAGTTCACGTTCCAGATGGGTTCCTTTGAAGCCTCAGCACTGGAGGTTCAATGGTTAGGCAGAGCATTACCTGAAACCACAGTCTTTATTTATCTTGTTATGTTTAACCTTTGTGATGTTAACTCGTTATGCCTTTATGGTGCAGAGATTCCAGCTCAGATGTTCTTTGTACAGAGTATGTCTTGTCTGATATTAGATGTGCTTATGCTTTGGTACTGCTCGCTAATACTATAATGGCATCAATGAGTTCTGCTCAAATTCTGGAGCATTTAAGGTAACTCTGAGATATCAGATTAACTTTCCCTCCTAGCAGGGTGGGGAGTGTACTTTTCCTTTTTACTCTTGTGGACAGAGAGAGAAATCACCTCACTTATCTACTGTACTGACATGGTAGGGACCTAACTAAGATTTATCCTTGCAAAAACAAGGTTTAGAGACTTACAGGGGAATATTTGCATGCTCTGAATCTCTGTCTCAAGTCCTTAATCTTTCACTGTACAATTTGGCTTAATTAAATTTGGCCTCAGAAACTTTCACTGTTTGCCTGGGTTCTTCCTTCCCCCACATTTATAATAGTCCATTTCTACACAATATTATAGGTGTAGTCAAGATTTTCAGTGATAGCCACATGGCTAGAACTAGCAGGAGCAAGGTGGTAGGAAAGAATGTCTGCAGAAACTGGTAGACCAGTTCCAACAGCCCTATTCCCTTCTTCCTCCTACCTCCCATTTCCAACCAACTGAATGACTCATGAATTTTCCAAAGCTTTTTATGTTTGCATAGCAGGCAGATTAGAGATACCAGTGGAGGTAGTGATAGGAAAATCCCATGAACTCTTGGACACTCTGTACTACTTCACACTGGATAGGTTTGCCATGTTCTTTTGTGAGGGGCTGCTGGAACTGTCTTAAACTTGTATGTAGTAGGGTTGCAGTGCTCTTGTAGCCATAATGACTTGGGAAATGCATTCCCTGCAGCTGTAGAGGTGGCTTCAGTTCCTAAGTAGTTCTGCGCATGCCCACCATTGGAACCTTAGCAGCCCACAGGGAAAAGCAACGCTACAGTTGGTCCAGTAAAAGTTTATTGGAATCCCTTGATTCTCTCATTAAAACCCATGGCAGATGCTTGCATCTGTAGCACGTGTGCCTTAGGAAGCAGATTGTGGCTACAAAGTTCCTGATGTGGGACTTTGCTATTGGTACATGCATTCAGTTTTGGAATCACTGGGTTGTGGCTGTGGCAGTAGTGAATGAAAGGTCCAAATAGCAAGAGCCTAGAAAGAAAAATTCACTTTTAGGTATCTGGTCATATGTCTACATATGCTTAATATTGTCTCAAATATTTGCAGGATTAGATCCTAGGAAAGGAAATAAAAAACAAAGAAAAATGCTTTTAGTGAAATAGAATTAAACGTTCTGATAAAACTTGTTTTGTTTTTGTTTTTGCAGAGACAGTGGGATTGTGATTTGTCAGCCTTCGTACCATCAATAGGAAAAATGCCAAGTTCCAAAAGTAGCTCTGTGCCTTCAAATAATGATATTAAAAGTGATGTTTCAAACCTGAGTGAACTGACAGTTTCAAATGAGAGGGAGTTTGCCGAAAACAGTACAACAAGCCTGACTGAAAAGACTGGCTATTGTGACTCTGTATACATAAATGCAGCTAATATTTTCCAACGCATTCATAATGAAAAGCCTCAGGATAGAATATTGATAAGTTATGGTAATGAACCAGTACCAGCCCTGCCCATCTTCAGAGTTGAATATTCCCAGCGTGCATCTTATGAACTGGCTTTCAGTGCTCTAAAGTGTAAGTAAAACTTTCCCTAAATTGCTCACAGAAGTTATGTAGCACAGAAAGCATGGAACAACTAGAAAGAAGTTTTTAGTTCTTTGGGGTGGAGAGAAGAACATTCCTGCAGCTTTAAAGAGGGCAGTTCAGCTCTTGCCTCACCTTGTGGACTGCTGAAGTTCCATTGGTAGGCATTGTGATAGTTTGGGCAGTAGAATCTGTGGACTCCCTGGTCTTAGGGTTCACCACTGACCATCTGCCTCTGAATGCCTACGATCTTACCTGCCACGACTGTATGGAATAATTGGTATAGGCCCTCAGTCCAGGCAGTATGGCATCTCCTCTGGGTGCTTCACATTACCGTATCTTCATAGACAGGCTTGCTAACGTAGTGAGGAGGGCTTTAAACTAGGTTTGCGGGAGATTGAGACTAAGACCTGAGGTAAGTGGGGAAGCAGGTGACCTGGAGGAAGCACAAGCAGGAAGGGACAATGGGAGGCCTTCTCATTCTTCCTGAGAAAATAAGGCAATCAGCTGGTTATCTCTGGTGTTTTGTACAGGCATGCACAGAGCCTGGGAAACAAGCAGGAAGAATTGGAAGTCCTCACACAGTCACAGAACTATGCCATGATTGGAATAGCAGAGACTTCAGTGGGATAGGTCGAATGACTGGAGCACTGTCATGGATGGGTAAAAACTGTTCAGGAAGCACAGGCAGTGGAGAAGAGGAGGAGGAGTTGCTCTTTATCTAGTAAAAGGGCTGTATGATTGCTCAGAGCTCCAGTATGAAGTGGTAGATAGGCCTGTTGAAATTCTCTGGGTTAAGGTTAGAGGGGAGAGCAACAAGGGTGATATCGTGGTGGTTGTGGACTATAGGCCACCAGATCAGGAGGATGAGGTGGAAGAGGCTGTCTTCAAACAGCTGGCAGAAGTTTCCAGATCACAGGCCTTGGCTGTCATGGGGGACTCAATTCCCCTGACATCTGCTGAGAGGGCAATGCAACAGTGCACAGACAATCCAGGAAGTTTTTGAAGAGTGCTGGGGACAGCTTCCTGGTAGGTGTTGAAGAGGACAACTAGGGGTCATGCTTTTCTTGATCTGCTGCTCACAAACATGGAAGAATTGGTGGGGAATGTAGTAGTAGATGGCAGCTTGGGCAGCACCGACCACAAAATGATTGAGTTCAGGTTCCTGAGGAAAGGAAGGAAGGAGAGCAGCAAAATAAGGACCTGTGCATACATGCGACTTTCATGTAATTATGAAACTAAGCATTTATATTTTACCATGTGTATTGGACTTCTTATATATCAGCTGAACTGGAATTATAATCCTCTGTTTTTTCCATGGATGTGTTTCTTTTGGATCAGGTCTGAAGACAGCTCTATTGAGCTATTACTTTTGCACTTAAATTTGTACTTTAAAAAATCTTACAACATTGTTTAAATCTTAATATCTTTCTAACCCAGCAGTTTTTCAGTGCTCAGATGTAGTTACTTGTGAATTTTATTTATATTTTTAGAATCCTGTAGATTTTTATGTATTTCTTTTGCAGATCAAGATCTTCTTGAGAACATATTGATAGATAGCTGCTTCTACCCATGTCAGTCAATTGTAAGTAATGCATTTGTGAGATGATAATAGACCACTTTACAAAAAAGTTTGACATGCATCTAGTGCCTTATTTTTCTGAAACATCCCAAAGTGCTTCTATTGTTTTATGTTATATAGATCCCTGCAGTTTTTGACCCTGTATTTCACTGTGATAAGCTTTCAGCTGGTGTGTGTGTTGGGGTGGAAAGGAGGGTGAATGATAAGTGTATGTTCAAATGCCTGTGAAAAAAGTAACTCACTTATACTGATAAAAGAGTTGTATATGCTGCCCATTTGTAGCCATGCTTTAGGGCTATTTTAAGGATTTTGACAAGCCAGCTTAATGTTAAAAGAATAGTTATAATGAAGTTTTATGAGAAACTTCTAAAGCTCATCATTCTAACTTTATGTTGATTTAGTCCATATCATATAGCATCAAGCAGCACTGTGCTTCTTCACCGGATATGCTCCCTCTCTACATGTTCAGGTAAAGGTATGATTGGATCTAATACGCGATCCACACAATTGTGTTTTCTGCCATGTTACACGTGCATGGCAGGAGGCGCGATTGTGGGATCACACATCGGATCCAATTGTGCTATATTACTGGTGCAGGGGGAGCCCTGCACTGGCAAGAAGCAGGCTCCCAGTTATGGGGGAAACATGCAGCTGAAGCCAAGACCCCGGAGCTGATGGGGCTCTCAGCCCCGGCTGCAAGTGAGGCGCAGCTAGGGTTGAGAGCCCCATCAGATACGGGGCTCTTGGTCCTGACTGCATGTGACAAGCCAAACTGAGAGCTCTGTATGGGCTGGGGGTTTCACTCACTCCTCTCTCCCCACCCCTGCCTCCTTCCCCCCAGCTTCTGATCACAGCAGCTGTAATCCTTGGGGCTCAGGGTTTTTGCACTAGGCAAGGTTCACCCCTGAGGCTGGGAACCCAGCTCTTGGCCCCAGGGGAGACCCTGCTACACATGCAAATTAAACCTTGATAGCAACTAGCTATAAAGTTAGCACACACTTTTTGTGGTCTAACTTTATAGCTGATTGGATCTTTTTATTGTGTGATAGATACATTGCATGTGTAGTTGGTCTCATTTAATTGCATAATATCTGTAATGTGTAGAGGGGGCCATAGTGCTCATGTTATTGGTCCTTGTGTCATACTTTAATACAGCTTCTAGATGGGTGCATATTAATCAAACACTGTTTTATAGCTTATAGACACCTTTTCCAAAATATATTTATCAATATACTGTCAGGTTGTCATTTCTTTCTTAATCCATGTTGGATTCAAATTATTATCAAAGGCTGCAGTGTCTCATTGCTAATCCTTGGTAAAAATCCTAAGGTATCCATCACGCACACATGTTTCAAGTCAATAGCTCTTTAGCTGTAAACTGCAATTCACAGGTCATAATTTCTGACATTGTAAACTGATGACCAAGCAAGAAGTTATGATTTAGACTTAATAGGAGAAATCTTGGAATCCTAGTTTCTATCATAACTTAAATTTATAATATTACTTTGTCTTCGTAGCTATGTCATGAAGCAGTATATTCATATAATATATAGTAAAAGCTGTGTTGACCGGCATTTTACTAACCAGAATACTCTATTAACTGGAATTTCCAATATCCCCCAATACAAATCTTCACTTTAGCAACTGGAATCTTTGCGGAGTCTATCTGGCAAGTGCATCAAGTATTTCTGTTGTTTACATTAGTTAGGGATCTGCACGGGCTGCTGCTATGGGATGGGGCTGGGGCAGGGCCAGGGCCAGGCTGTGCCCAGCAGGGGTGGCTGCACTGCGCTCCTGTCTTTCTTGATAGCTATAAATCTCAGTTAACCAGAATTTTTAGATAACTGGTATCCCCCTTACCCCCCTCATGCTGGATAACAAAGCTTTTACTGTAGCTTATTAACTGCATTGCACTCTGCTAATGTCTATCTTGCAGCTGGGTTAGCAAAAATGTACTTTCGTTAAGCACTGTGAACTACCTAATGACTTGTGATTTAGAAACCTGATTGACCAGTGCATCTGAGATGGGGCTGAAAATGAAACATGGCTTTTTTAGCCCTTTTTTTATAGCATATACCAGAAGAAATAAACAACTTCCTTGCAGAGCATGCTGCATTACTAAACTCTGCTTCCACTTATCTAGTTTTAATTTTATATTTAAAAAAACAAGCTAAATGATACGTGGGAACTGCCAAAAGTACAAATGGACACTAAATTAAGGGAATCTGTTTAGAGTTACACCTCTCATAGGCCTTTGAAAGGAACATTCTGATTATGTACATACTTCCTAAGCTGCATTTTGGAGTGAAACTACCACAGGATGGCATTTGCAAAGAACTAGGACCACTGACCAATTTTAACTGCCAGCCATTGTGTCTTATGGCTAAGACAAGAGGATAGGAAACCTGTCAACATTAGCAGTGGAAGATTTGGAGAATAATTTATCTTTTATGGTAACTGTTTCAAAGATCAAGTTTCTCAGAAAATCAGTCTCAACTGGCATGCTCAAATTTTCAAAAGTGGTCACTAAATAGGGCCTGAAAGTTTTGAATATGCAAGATTTCTCTTGCTTTGGTTGGCATTTTGTGTTTAGCATCTCTGTCTACCAGATGGGGCAGGGTGCGGGGGGTATGGGCAGAGCCATCCCTAGGGATGTACTGGGCCTGGTGGGTGGGGGGTGATGAGCAGCTGGAGGAGTGGCCAGAGCCAGTGTGGGGGCGGGGGGGGTGGAGAGTGGCCGGGGGAGCTACACATTTTCCCAAATGTAATAGGAATTTCTGAAAATG